TCGCCACCCCCTTTTCCCCCTTTTCTTTCCCTTTCCCGTCTCTTTTCCCCTTTGGGATCACTTTGGGGTTGATCCCATTGGGTTTTCCAGAGGACTGGAGCTCAGAGGGGATTCCTTGTGATTCCCCCTTCCCATCCCTCTTACCCTTTTGGGGTCGGTTTGGGGTTGATCCCGTTGGGTTTTCCAGAGGACTGGAGCTCACAGTGGTATTTCCTGGGATTCTTCCTTTCCCATCCCTTTTCCCATTGGATTTTCCATAGGATTGGAGCTCCGAGTGGGATTTCTCGGGGTTGTCCCTTTCCCATTCCTTTTCCCCTTTTGGGGTTGATCCCTTTGGGTTTTCCAGAGGACTGGAGCTCAGAGTGGGATTTTTTGGGATTCCACCTTCCCCATCCCTTTTCCCGTGGGGTTTTCCAGAGGATTGGATCTCCAAGCAGGATTTCTTGGGGTTCCTCCTTTCCCATCCCATTTCACATTTTGGGATCAGTTTGGGGTTGATCCTGTGGGGTTTTCCAGAGGACTGGAGCTCTGAGTGAAATCTCTCGGGATTTCCCATTTCCCATCCCATTTCCCATTTTGGGCTCAGTTTGGGGTTGATCCCACGGGTTTTCCAGAGTTCTGAGTGGGATCTCTCGGGATTCCCCCGTTTCCCATCCCATTTCTCATTTTGGGATCCGTTTGGGGTTGACACCGTGGGGTTTTCCAGAGGACTGGAGCTCGGAGCGGGATCTCTCGGCGTTCCGCCTGGGGGACGTGCTGAACATCCAGGCCGAGGTGGGCGCCCACAGCCACGTCCCGCTGCGGCTCTTCGTCGACTCCTGCGTGGCCACGCTGGGCCCCGGCGCGGGCACCGAGCCCCACTACGCCATCATCGACTTCAACGGGTGCGCCGGGGCTGCCGGGGACAGCTGGGGATGGTTTGGGGACATCTGGGGACATTTGGGGATGGTTTGGGGACATTTGGGGATACCTGGGGACACCCAGGGGGTGATGAGCTCTCCTTGTCCCACTGTGCCATCATCAACTTCAACGGGTGTGCTGGGGACGTCTGGGGATGTCTGGGGACATTTGGGGTTGGTTTGGGGACATCTGGGGACTTCTGGGGACATTTTGGGATGGTTTGGGGGCATCTGGGGACGCTTAGGGGTTATGGGGAAGGGGCAGCTCATCCCGCCCCATTACGCCATCATCGACTTCAATGGATGCGCCGGGGACATCTGGGGACATATGGGGACATATGGTGACATCTGGGCACATTTGGGAGTGTTTTGGGGACATTTGGGGATGTTTTGGGGACATTTAGGGATGTTTTGGGGACATTTGAGGATGTTTGGCGGTGTTTGGGGCTGCTTTGGGGTCTTGGGGGACACCCAGGGGCTGGTGAGCTCTCCTTGTCCCCCTATGCCATCATCGACTTCAATGAGTGTGCTTGGGGACGTCTGGGGATATTTGGGAATAATTTGGGGACATTTGGGGACAATTTGTGGTGAAGGACACAGTCAGGGGGTGGTGACACCTTATCTCATCTCACTGCTCCATCATTGACTTCAATGGGTGAGTTTGAGGACACTTGGGGACATTTGGGGATGTCTGGGGACACTTTGGGGTCTGGGACACAGGGAGTGGTGACACCTTGCTGCACCATCAATGACTTCAATGGGTGAGTTTGGGGACGCTTGGAGACCTTTGGGGACAGTTTGGGGACATTTGGGGATGTTTTGGGGTCAAGGGGAGGGTGGCTCCTCATCCTCCCCGGCTACACCCTCATCAACTACAACAGGTGAGCTTGGGGACATTTGGGGACAATTTGGGGTCTGGGGAGACACACACGGGGTGGTGATTTCAATGAGAAAGCTGGGGACATTTTGAGGTCTAGGAGGTGCTGAGCACTTGTCACTTCCCCAGCCAATCTGGGGACACACAGGGACACCACAGTGCCAGCCAGGGTTGTGACCCTTCTGTCCCCATGACTGTGACCCTGCTGTCCCCATGGAGTGACTCCGCTGTCCCCGGGGTGTGACCTCGCTGTCCCCATGGTGTGACCCTGTCCCCATGGTGTGACCCTGTCCCCGGGGCGTGTCCCTGCTGTCCCCACAGCTGCCTGGTGGACGGGCGCTCTGATGCCACCAGCTCGACCTTTGTCACCCCCCGGCCGCGGCAGGACGTGCTGCGCTTCCAGATCGACGCCTTCCGCTTCGCCGGCGACCCCCGCAGCCTGGTAAGGCCCTGGGGACACCCTGGGGACACCCCGCTGTCCCCAGCACCGCCCCGTGCCCCCGCGGTGTCCCCAGCAATGTCCCCTGGTGCAGATCTACATCACGTGTCACCTGAAGGTGACACCGGCCGAGCAGAGCCCGGACGCGCAGAACAAGGCCTGCTCCTTCAGCAAGGCGCGCAACACGTGAGTGCCACCTCCCCAGTGCCACCTCCCCAGTGTCACCTCCCTGGTGTCACCTCCCCAGTATCACCTCTGTAGTGTCACCTCCCTGGCCCCACCTCTGTAGTGCCACGTCCCTGCTGTCACCTCCGTGGTGGCACCTCCATGGTGGCAACTCCCTAGTGTCACCTCCCTGGTGGCACCTGCCTGCTGTGGTGGCACTGGCTGACGGTGTCACCTCCCTGTCACAGCTGGGCGCCCGTGGAGGGGACAAGGGACATCTGCAGCTGCTGTGAGCTGGGCAACTGCGGCCGGAGGCCAGCGGAGACCTGGAACGGCCACCGCTACCGGAGACACGACGGGGACGGTGAGGGGACAGCAGGGGGACAGTGTGGGGACAGTGTGGGGACACTGGGGATACCAGGGACAGGGGGGCATGGGGACACTGCTGACATGGGGACTGTGGAGAGGGGGACATGGGGACAGGGAGACAGGGGGACATAGGGACAGGGGGAGATGGGGACGGTGGGACAGGGGGACAGGGGGACAGGGGGACTGTGGAGAGGGGGTGATCTCTCCTCACTGTTGCCACTGTCCCTCACTGTCCCTTGTCCCCAGGTGCCACCTCCGAAGCTGACATTGTCATCGGTCCCGTGCTGCTCTCGAGTGCCCAGCGTGGCCAGCGCCCTGAGGGCCACCAGGGTGAGTCCCTGAGGTGACACCGGTGACACTGGGTGACACTGGGTTACACTGCGTGACACCGGTGATCCTGGGTGACACTGGGTGACACCAGCAACACCAGGTGGCACCCCGTGACAATCCCCGCTCCCCTCCGTGTCACTCGGTGTCCCTTCGCAGGTGCGGTGGCACCGCTGGCTGTGGGGACAGCGCTGGCCTGTGCGGTGGCCGGCGTGGCCGTGGCTGGAGCCGCGCTGGCCATCGGCCTCAGGCGCCGGAATTCCCCGTGAACCCCGGAATGATCGACGGAAATCCCGATAAATCCCACAAGGACCGATGGAATTCCCAATAAATCCCACAAGGATCGATGGAAATCCTGATAAATCCCACAAAGACCAACAGAATTCCCAATAAATCCCACAAGGACTGATGGAAATCCCGATAAATCCCATGACCCGCAGTGTCCGAGGGGTCACTCTGGGAGGGAATCCCAGGAATGGGGTGGGGAGGATGACCAGTCCTGTCCCAGTGTCCCCATTCCCATCACAGTGTCCCCATTCCCATCTCAGTGTCCCCATTCCATTCCCAGTGTCCCTATTCCAGTGTCACCATTTCCAGTGTCTCCATTGCCATCCCAGTGTACCCAATCCCAATGTCCCCATTCAATCCCACTGTCCCCATTCCCGTGCCAATGCACCCATTCCCATCCCAGCGTCCCCATTCCCATCCTGATGTCCTCAATCCCAGTGTCCCCATTTCCACTGTCCCCATTCCATCCCACTGTCCCCATTCCTGTCCCAGTGTCCCAAATCCTAGTGTTCCCATTCCTGTACCAATGTCCCCATTCCCAGTGTTCCCAATCCCAATGTCCCCAATCCAGTGTCCCCATTCCCAATCCCACTGTCCCCAATCCCACTGTCCCCATTCCATCCCACTGTCCCCATTTCTGTCCCAGTGTCCCCAATCCCAGTGTTCCCAATTCCGGTGTCCCCAGTCCCAGTGTCCCTCTTTCCAATGTCTCCATTCAATCCCACTGTCCCCATTCCCAATTTCCGCATCCCCAGTCCCAATGTCCCAATTCCCATTCCAAATGTCCCCATCCCATTCCTACTGTCCCGAATCCCAATGTTTCCATTCCATTCCATTCCATTCTATTCCATTCCATTCCATTCCATTCCATTCCATTCCCGATGTCCCCATTCCCAATCCCACTGTGCCCATTCCCAGTGTCCCCATTCCCTATCCCAATGTCCCCAATCCCACTGTCCCCATTCCTATTCCCAATGTCCCCATTCCCATCCCAGAGTCCCCATTCCCAGTGTTCCCAATTCCGGTGTCCCCAGTCCCATCCTGGTTGTCCCCAGTCCCACTGTCCCTCTTTCCAATGTCCCCATTCAATCCCACTGTCCCCATTCCCAGAGACCCCATTCCTGTCCCAATGTCTCCGTTCCCAATCCAGCATCCCCAGTCCCAGTGTCCCTATTCCCATTCCCAATGTCCCCAATTCCATTCCCAATGTCCTCATCCCATTTCCACTGTCCCCATTCCCATTCCCACTGTCCCCATTCCCATACCAGTGTCCCCGTTCTCAATCCAGCATCCCCAGTCCCAATGTCCCCATTCCCAATCCCAATGTCCCCAGTCCCAATGTCCCCATTCCCAATCCCAATGTCCCCAATCCAAGTGTCCCCATTTTCATTCCCAATAGGTTTCCCCCATTCCCACCCCCATTCCCATCCCAAAATTCCCAGAACTGTTTCTTTCCCCCACTTGGGGACATTCCCAGAAATTCCCAAGGATTTGTAGGATCACGAGGATTTTATGGAGCATTTTGGGGTCCCTGCTTTGATTCCAGCCTTGGATTCCCCCGGGAATGCCGGGAAAATTTGGGATAAAAACGATTCCCAAGAGTCCTCGTGGCTTCCCCGCTTTTTATTGGGAAAAGGGGAAACTTTGGGAACGCAGCGGAGCCACCTCGAGGACTTCCCAGGAAAGGGGACGGGTGACACTCCTGGGGTTCCGCTGCCGTCAGGATCTGCGGGGAAAATGGGAAAATCCCAGAAAATTTCATGGGGAAGGAGGAAAAAACCTGACCCCAAATGGGCAAATCCCATAAAATTCCATGGGAAAGGAGGAAATTCCCAATTGCCACCCCAAATTCCAAGGAAAAGAAGCACAATCCCAATTCCCAAATAAACCATCCCAAAAAATCTCCCATTCAAAAAAATCCCTATTCCAAAAATCTCCATCCCCCCAAAATGGGGATTTTTTTGGGATTGGGATTTTTTGGGATGGGGGAATTTTGGGGATTTGGGTATTTTTGGGATGGGGGAATTTTGGGATGGGGGTTTTTTGGGGATTTGGGTTTTTTTGGGATGGGGGATTTTTAGGATGGAGGTTTTTTGGGATGGGGTTTTATTGGGCTCAAGATATTTTGGGATGGTTTTTTGTTTTGTGATGAGTTTTTTTGGAATTGGGATTTTTCTTTCAGGGTTTTTTGGGGTGGGTTTTTTTTGGGAGGGGGTCTTTTTTTGTAATTGGGGTTTTTTCAGGTTGGGGTTTTTTTGAATTGGGTTTTATTTGGGATAGGGGATTTTTAGGATGGGGATTTTTTTGTATCGGATGTTTTTGGGATCAGGATTTTTTTATTTGGGTTTTTTGGGCTTGGGGGTTTTTTTGGGGGTCAGGGGTTTTTGGGCTTGGGGTTTATTTCGGGATTGGATTTTTTGGGAAGTTTTTTTGGGATCGGGGTTTTTTTATAATAGGGTTTTTTTGGCTTGGGTTTTTTTAGGATCAGGGTTTTTTGGGATTTTTTTTTGGGGGGGGATGGGGTTTTTTTTGGGATGGGTTTTTTTGGGGTCAGGAATTCCTTACTGGGCGATGCGGCAGTTGGAGGCGGACACGAAGCGCCCGGTGTAGTGGATGTGGCAGCGCACGACGTTGTTGGTGAAATCCGACTCCAGCACCAAATATTTGGGATTGACCTGGACCTGGGATGGGGAAAAATTCCCAGAAAAGGATCCCAAAAATCAGCAGGGAAAAAAATTAGGGAAAATCAGATGGGAATGGGGGAAAGGGAAAGAAATCCCAAAAGGGAAAGGGAGAATTTGGGCATACCCCAAAATAGGGAAAGGGAAGGGGAAAAAATCCCAAAAATTAACAGGGAAAAGGAAACTAAAAAAAAAATCCCCAAACAGGAGAAAGGAAAGGAAAAAATGCCCACAATAACCAGGGAAAGAGGAAAATCCCGATCCGGGATGGAATTGGGATTTTCCACCTCAAAATGTCCCCAAATGTCCCCAGATGTCCCCAACCTTGAGGATGTAGTTCCCTGGGGGGACGTCGGTGATGTCGATCCACTGGCAGTCGATGTCGGCGTTGTAGGTGTCGTAACAGCCTGGGCTGAGCCCCTGCAGGGGGAAAATGGGGTGAGAAATGGGGGGAAAGGGAAAAAATGGGGAAAATGGGAAAAATGGGGGGGGAAATGTGAAAAAATGAAGAAAAAAGGGAGAAAAAAGGTTAAAAAATGGGCAGAAAAGGACAAAAAGAGGGGGATCTAAAAGGAACCCTCGGGTGTTGTAACAGCCCAAGGAGAGATCCTGCAGGGGAGAAATGGGGTGAGAAATGGGGTGAGAAATGGGGAAATTGGGCAAAAATGGGGAAATGAGGAAAAATGGTGAAAAAGGGGGGGGGAAAGGGTGTAAAAATGGGGAAAATAAGGGAAAAAAAGGGTAAAGATGGGGGAGGAAAGGGAACCCCTTTGTTCTCTCAGTGTCACCTGGGTGTGGGCGGTGCATAGTGCCACAAATGGGGACAAAAGGGACAAAAAAGGGACAAAAAATGGAGAAAAGGGGACAAAAGGGACAAAAAGTGACAGAAGTGACAAAGGGTGCTGTCCCTGCGGTGTCACCTGGGTGTGGGCAGTGCAGACATAATGCCACAAATGGGGACAAAAGGGACCAAAAGGGACAAAAAAGGGAGGAGAACGGGAGATGAAAGGGACTAAAAGGGACGGAAAGTGACAGAAGTGTCAAAGGCCACTGTCCCAAGGCGTCACCTGTGTGTGGGCGGTGCAGGCGTAGCGCTTGAGGTGGCCGAAGTCGCAGGTGGTGTCCTCCAGGCAGAAGCTGGCCTTGTGTCCCTCGGCCACCCGGCGGCCCGAGGTGACATCCAGCAGGTCATAGTGGCTGAACTCCGCCATGCTGTGGTAGTGCCTGGGGACATGGGGACACTGTGGGGACACTGTGGGGACACCGTAGGGACAGGCTGGGGACACGCAGGGGACACTTTGGGGATGCTCTGGGGACAGTCAGGGGACAGTGGGACAATCAGGGTACAATCATGGGGACAGTAAGGGGACGAGCTATGGGATAAATCAGGGGACATTCAGGGGACATTCAAGGGGACACTCAGGGGACAGCAGGGCCACCCAGGGGACATTCAGAGGAATAATCAGGGGACAATCAAGGGGCACTCTGGGGACACTCAGGGGACATCCAGCAGGTCACAGTGGCTGAACTCTGTCATGCTGTGGTAGTGCCTGGGGACATGGGGACACCGTGGGGACAGGTTGGGGACACTCAGGGGAACACTCAGGGGACAGTCAGGGGACAGTCAGAGGACAGCAGGGGACAGTCAAGAGACAGCGGGCACAATCAGGGGACATTGAGGGGACTCTGCCATGCTGTGGTAGTGCCTGGGGACACCAGGGGACAGGCTGGGGAGCCCTGGGGACACTCAGTGGTGGCAGCTGTGCCACTGCCACCATCATGAATGGTGGCTTTGGGGACAAAGAGGTGAAGGAAGATCCCAAAACAAAGCCACCAAATGGGGAAACATCACCAAAGCACCACCAAAGTGCCACCAAATCCCTTGGAGCTACTAGCAGGGGGTGGGCAGAGGCTGGGGACAGCTGGGGACGTTCACTGGTGGCAGTTGTGTCACTCCCACTAACGTGGTGGCTTTGGGACAAAGACATGAAGGAAGACCCCTAAACAAAGCCACCAAATGGGGAAACACCACCAAAGTGCCACCAAAGACCCTGGACCTGCCACCCAGGGTTGGGCTGAAGTTGGGGACATCTGGGGACACTCAGTGGTGGCAGCTGTGCCACTGCCACCATCACGGTGGCTTTGGGGATGAAGAGCTCACGGAAGGTGACATTGCACAGCAACATCCCAAAACAAAGCCACCAAATGGGGAAAAGGCCACCAAAGTGCCACCAAAGCCCTTGAAGCTGCCAGCAGGGAGTATGCAGAGGTTGGGGACAGATGGGGACACTCAGTGGTGACAGCTGTGCCACTGCCACCATCATGAATGGTGGCTTTGAGAACAAAGAGAGGAAGGAAGACTTGCCCTTATGAAGACCCCAAAGCAAAGTCACCAAACAGGGAAATGCCACTAAAATGGCACTCAAAGCTGTGCCCAGAGGCAGGGAACAGGTTGGGGACACCTGGGGACACTCACTGGTGGCAGCTGTGCCACTGCCATCGGTGGCGGGGCTGGCTGGGCAGGAAATCGGCCGTGCCCTGGTTCTTGACGCGCTGCGGGAAGCGCAGCAGCACCCGCACGTCGTAGTCGGTGGCCTCGGCCGCGTACGCCGTGCTGGGGACGGGGACAGGGACAGTGGTGGCACCCTCTATCCTGTGTCCCATATCCCCTGTCCCATGTCCCGTGTCCTGTATCCTGTCTCCCATATCCCATGTCCCGTTCCCATATCCCATTGTCCCTCCTGTGTCCCTCCTGTGCAGGAATGTATCCCATTCCTGTATCCCGTGTCCCATATCCCGTGTCTCATGTATCCTATGTCCCATATCCCCTGTCCCATGTCCTGTGTCCCGCATCCCATATCCCACTGTCTCATTCCTGTATCCCGTATCCCGTGTCCCCTGTGTCCTCTGTCCCATATCCCCTGTCCCATGTCCTGTGTGCCATGTCCCATATTCCTGTATCCCACATCCCATGTCCCACGTCCCGTTCCCATATCCCATATCCCATTGTCCCATTCCTGTATCCCCTATCCCATATCCCATATCCCATGTCCCGTATCTCATGTCCCATCTTCCCTGTGTCCTATGTCCCGTGTCCATGTGTCGGTGTGTCCCCGGTGTCCCCAGTGTCCCTGTGTGTCCGTGTGTCCGTTGGTGTGTCCATGTGTCCGTGTGTCCGTCGGTGTGTCCGTGTGTCCCCGGTGTGTCCCCGGTGTCCCCGTCGGCGAGTGGCACCTGGCCAGGCAGCGCTCCTCGGCGGCGCAGCGCAGCGAGTACAGGTGAGCTCTCTGCACGTACGTGGACGCCTGGACGTAGTTGGGGTCCGGGACCAGGTCCGGGAGACCTGCGGGAAACGGGATCGGGATTGTGGAAATCCGGGATTGGGGAAATCCAGGATCAGGTCCAGGAGACCTGCCAAGAAATGGGAATGGGATTGGGAACAGGGACTGGGGAAATCCGGGATCAGAAGCGAGACCTGCTGGGAAATGAGATTTTTCCCCATTTCCCTCTATTTTTTTCCGCATTTTTCCCCATTCCCCCCCATTTTTCCCCCCACTTTCCCCCATTTTTCCCTGTTTTTCCCCAGTTTTCCCCAATTTTTCCCCATTTTCCCCATTTTTTCCCCCATTTCTCCCCGTTTTTCCCTGGAAAGGAGAACAATGCCTCCTTGTTTCTGGGCCTGCCTTCCCGGGAGGGATCACGTCATTCCTTTGGAGCTCATTTCCTGCCCCATTCCCGCTGATGTAATTCCCGGGAGGACCCAAAAAAAACCGGGGAGAGCTCAGAAAAAACTTCTCCCCCATCCCTTAAAAATATTCCTAACAAAAAAAACCCATGGAAAACCACCCCGGGCCAGCCAAGAAAAAGTTTTCCATCCTTTCAGAATTTTTTTCCCTCCCTGCTGTTGTTTATTCCAAGGAATTCTTGGAAGCCCCGGAGCGAAATCCGACTCTGGGACCAACGGGGAGTTTTATGGGATTTGGATTTTCCCCTTTCCCGCTGGATTCTGCCCTGGGATGGCCCCGTTGTTTTTGTAGGATATCACTCTTCCTTTTTGCGGTCAAACCCCTGGAATTCACAGGATATCGGGATACCCACTTCTGGAATTGTCCCCATCCCACCCCAAATTCCAGGGGGGTTTTACTGAGGCTTCCCAAAAATCCAGAGAAAATCGACCCTGGATCAGGACAATCCCATTGGGAAAAGGTTTTTGGTTTTCCCACCCGGCCCCTCGGCCACCCTGGGAGCTGCCAGAGGAGATTTCCATCCATTCCAGGGGAAAATCGGGATCATGGGCCCTGTTTGTGCAGGTGTATGGGATCAGCGGGAAAATCCCACAGGGATAAGAATCCCATGGAAAAGTGGGAGTGGGGGAGGCTGGGAATGGAGGGAGTGGAAATGGGGACGGCCGGAGAGACCAAGGGGATTCCAGCTTCCCATCCCATCAATCCCATCCCAGTCCCATTCCCAATCCTAATTCCAATTCCATTCACAATCCAAATCCCATCCCATCAATCCTAATCCCATCCCAAACTCAATTCCAATCTCATCCCATCCCATCCCATTCCATCAATCCCATCCCATCAATCCCAATCCCATCCCATCCCAATCCTATCAATCCCAATCCCTCCTCCATCCCCACAGAATCCTGGGATTCCCAGCCCCAGAACCATCCCAATCCCAAATCTGACCCCACCACAGGGAAACTTTCCTGGGAATTCTGACACCTCCCGGCCCATCCAGGGGTGACACCAAACTCCCCCTTGGTGGGACCCAAATCCCCAGCGCCCCATGGAATTCCCAAATCCCTCTTTCCTTCCAAACCCAACCCTGGGAACCCAATCCATGGGGTCAGGGGGAAAAACCCTCCTGGAGATGGGATTGGGGTTGGGAAAGCACTGGGGATGGGATCAGGGTTGGGATTAGGATGAGGAACCCCTGGAGATGGGATCCGGATCAGGATTGGGATGAAGAACCCCTGGAGATGGGATCGGGGTCGGCATTGGGGTGTAGAACCCCAGGAAGTGGGATCTGGGCAGGGATTGGGGTGAGGAAGTTATGGAGATGGGATCTGGGTTGGGTTCGGGTGAGGGAACCACTGGAGATGGGATTGGGGTTAGGATCAGGAAGAAGAAATCACTGGAGATGGGATCGGAGATCAGGAAGCCTCCAGAGATGGGATCCAGTTGGGGATTGGGATGAGGAAACCCCTGGAGATGGGATCTGTGCTGGGATTGGGGTCAGGAAGATTTTGGAGATGGGGTCAGGATGAGGAACCCCTGGAGATGGGATCAGGATGAAGAAATGTCCTGGAAATGGAATCGGGTTTGGGATCTGGGTAGGGAAAACTTTTGGAATTTGGATCCCCTTCCCTTCCCCACCCCCCGGAGCCACTCCTGTCCCTCCCATCTCTGGATCAGGCCTGGAATTTTCCCAGCCCCTGTTCCCAGATTTCCCCAGGCCCCCATTCCCCCAGAAACCCCGAGAATTCCCCGCTGGAAGCAGCGGGATCGGATTCCTTCCCTCATTAACCCCGGCCGGGGGCCGGCAATGCCGAACATTCCTGGCGGATCCGGCCAGGATTAGGAGGCTCCAGAGGAGCTTTGGCCGTGGAATTAATAATTAATAATTAATAATTAACAATTAACGCCGGATCCGGCGCCAGCCATCGTTTGCTCCAATTAGGATCCCCGGGAGGTGACAGGGAGGTGACAACATTCCCAAAACACGGCGAGTGACCCGGGATTTGAGGGGATCAGCTGGATTCCTGTGAAATTTCTCAGGAAAAGGGGGAAAGCTCTGGGAATTTGGGTGTCCCGAATTCCCTGCTGGAGCCACCGGCACCTCGCAGGATCCTGGAAGGACACGGACGCTGCCAAGGGGGAATTTGGCTGGAATCTTTCCCAGGGAATTTGGCTGGAATTTTTGCCGGGTCATTGGCAGGGCAGCTGTCCTTGAGTGTCTCTCCAGAGCCTTGGGAATTCTGGCATTCCCTGAATGTGTCCCCAAATCCCTCCCATCCTTCACCCCCTGTGCCCCATTCCTGGCTTTTCTGCCATCCCAAAAATCCCCATTCCCGAGTTTTTCCTGCAGCGTTCCCCCCCGGTTTGTGTAGGGCGGGGTTGGGCCCTTCCCACCACCCCAAATCCTCCGGGATGGCTATTCCCAGAAAACTGGGATGGGGCTGGGCAGGGCACGGGGTCAGGCTGGGATGGGATTCCCGAGGGATGGGCTGGGAGTGGCTCCGAGGGCTCGAAAACTCTTGGAAAGCTCAGCCCAGATCCATGGGATTTTATTGGGATGGGGAGGGAGCAACCCCGGAGTGACCCTGGAGTGACACGAGCATGGATCCGTCTGTATTTCCCAAAAATCTGGGAATGGAGTGTGTCCTGGTCAGATAAGCGGGATCGAGATCTGTCCCATCCCAAATATCACATGGGAAAATGGGATAAACATCCCACGGATAACTGGGATCCAGCCCTGTCCCATCCCATGGAAAACCCAAATATCCCATAGATAACTGGGATAAACACCCCATGGATAACCGGGATCCAGCCCTGTCCCATCGCAAATATCCCATGGATAACCATGGGATCCACAGGATCCAGCCCTGTCCCATCCCATGGAAAACCCAATGGGATAAACACCCCATGAATAACCAGAATCCAGCCCCATCCCATCCCAAATATCCCATGGAAAAATGGGATCCAGCATGGAGTTACCTGGGACAGACCCCAGGAATGCCCTAGGACACAGCACAACCCCATCCCACAAATTTGGGGTGCCCTGGGACACAGAACAGCCTTATTATCCCAAAATTATGGGATGACCCTGGATTCGGCCCAGCCCCATCCCAACCCCAGCCCTGTTCCCATGATTCCCAAACTCCCTATGGCGAATCCCGGGAATTCTGCCCATCCCAAGGAAGCCCCAAACTCACCTCTGGCCCCAAAGCTGGGCCTGTAGACGCTGCCCACGCTGAGCCGCGCTTGGCTGTCGGGCACGGCCTGAGGAATTTCGGGAATGAAGGGCTCGGGATGAGCGACCCCAAAGGATTCGGGCGCACGGAACGGCGGCTGCGCCTCGTGGGGCGGGAACTGCGCCCCAAATCCCAGATTTTCCATGGATCCCGTCCCGGTTTGCGCCTCGGCGCCGCCGTCGTGGTACAGGCTGTGCGAGTAGCGGCGATCCAGCGGCACTCCCGCCGCTCCGAACGGCGGCGGCTCCTCCCCGAAACCCTCGGGGAGCGCGCGGGGCTGCAGCGGGAACGCCGCCCCGGTCCCTGTCCCCATTGGTGTCCCCATCCCTGTCCCCATTGGTGTTCCCATCCCCGTCCCCATCCCTGTCCCCACTGGTGTCCCCATCCCCGTTCCCATCCCTGTCCCCATCGGGGTCCCCATCCCCGTTCCCATTCCTGTCCCCATAGATGTCCCCATTCCTGTCCCCATTCCTGTCCCCATCCCTGTCCCCGCCGCCACCGCGCTCCGCGACGCGGGGACACCCTCGGGGCGCTCCCCGTGCGGTGCCACCCCCGCGGCGACAAAGGGCGGCTGTCCCGCCACCCCCGCGGCGACGAAGGGCGGCTGTCCCGCCGAGGCGAAGGCGAACGACGACACGGCCACCCCCGAGGCTGTCGCCTGCCGCCCGCGTGCCGCTTGTCGCCGCTGTCCCCCCGCGCCGCCGTCGCCCAGCGCTCCGTCCCGCCAGTTGGGCGGCACCTGGCCGAACCCGAAGGGATGTCGCGCTTGTCCCCGCACTGTCCCCGAGGCGGGCGCCTGGCGGCGGACGCTGCCCGCTGCCCCCGCTGTCCCCGCTGTCCCCGCGGTGCCCGCCAGCCACAGGCGGCTGCCCGGGGGCCGCTCCTGCCCGGCGGGCACGAACTCGGCGCCGCTGTTGAGCAGGCTGTAGAGCCGCCCGTTGTTCTCCCACTGGATCAGCTGCCGCCACGGCTCCTGCGCCGCCGCCAGCAGCAGCAGCGCGGCCCAGAGCGCCCCGCGCCGCCACAGCCCCGCCGCCATCGCCGCCCCACGGCCCCGAGTGGCTGCGCCGCTGCTGCTGCTGCTGGCACCGCTGGTGGCACCGCTGCTGGCACCGCTGCTGGCACCGCTGCTGGCACCGCTGGTGCTGGCACCCCCGGCCGGGGCAGCGCCGCTCGGGCCCGTCCCGCTCGGAGCGCGCCGGGAGCGCCTCCGCCTGTGCCTCCTCCTCCTCCTTTCCTTTTCCTCCTCCTCTTTTTCCTTCTCCTCCTCCTCCTCTTTTTCCTTTTTTTCCTCCTCCTTTTCTTCCTTCTCCTTCTCTTTCTGCTCTTTTTCCTTCTCCTCCTTTTCCAAGCCTTGGTCCCTCCACTTGCTTCTCCTCTCCTCCTCCTTCTCCTTTTCCTTCTCCTCTTTTTCCTCCCCCTCCTTCTCCTCCTTTTCCTTCTCCTTTTCCAAGCCTTCCTCCCTTCTCCTCCTCCTCCGACCCCGCCTCCTCCTCTTCTTTTCCCCCCTCCTCCTCCTTCTCCTTTTCCAAACTTTCCTCCCTCTCCCTCGTCTCCCTCCTCTTTTTCTTTCTCCTCCTTCTCCTCCTTTCCCAAACCTTCCTCGTCCTCCTCCTCTTCTCCCTTTCCCTCCTCTCCCTTTTCCTCCTCTTTTTCATTCTCCCCCTTTTCCGAGCCTTCCTCCCTCTCCCTCTCCCTCCTCCTCCTCCGGGAGGAATTCTGCTGGAATTCGCGGGATTCGCTCCAAGGCTTCGCTCCCAGAGCGGTTCCCGCACTCCGGAAGTGCGTCCAGGCGGGAAAAAAAACTTGGAATTTTCACTTTTCTCCACTTTTTGTGACTCCCGGAGTGAATTTCGGGTGGAATTCCCCGGGATTCAGTCCCGGGAAGCGCCTCCAGAGCGGGTCCTACCCTCCGGGAGAAGGCGGGAATTGCATCCAGCCGGGATAAAAAAAGTGGAATTTCCCTTTTCCCCGCTTTTTGAACCCTTCAAGGATCCCTTTTCCCGCCCGATTCCCACCACTTCCCGATTTTCCCGGGAAAAGCCCCTTCCCAAAGGAAAACCCTGCCCAAAAATGGGATTGTCTCCCAGATTTTGCCTTTTCGGGGCCATTTGGAGTTTTCCCCCTGGATATTAAATCCTGAATGATGGCAGAGAACGCCTGGAATTAATCGGGAATTTGGCTGGAAATTCTTTAATTTTTTGGGTTGTTGAATAAAAAACGGGATTCGAGGAGGGAATCCCCAAATCCCGTGGCTGGTGGGACCTCAAACCCCTCAGGATCCCCCAAAAATTCCAGGGTTTTTCCCTCTGGGAATGCCGGAGTTGATGGAGCAGGGCAGGATGGAACTCCGGGACAATTCCCAAATTCCAAACCCAAAATCCCAGATCCCAAATACACAATTCTCAAATCCCAATCCCCAAACCCCAAATCCCCAATCCCATACCCAAATCCCCAATCCCAAACTCCAAATCCCCAAACCCCAAATTCCAAATCCCAAACTCCAAACCCCAAATCCACGATCCCAAATCCTGGATTCCAGATCATAAACCCAAATCCCAAATTCCCAAACCCCAAATCCCAAACCCTTGATCCCAAACCACAGCTCTCAAATGCCGGATCCCAAACGCTAAACCCTGCATCCCAAATCCCAGATCCCAAATCCCTGGATTCCAAACCCCAGATCCCAAATCCCAAGCCCTGAATCCTGGATCCCAAATCTCAAAATCCAAACCCCTGGATCCCAAATCCCTGGATTCCAAACCCCGGATCCCAAATCCCAAACCCCAAACCCCGGATCCCATATACCAAACCCCAAACCCTGGATCCCAAATCCCGGATCTCAAATCCCAAACCTCGACTCCTGGATCCCAAATCCCGGATGCCAAACCCCAAATCCCAAACCCCGAACCCTGGATCCCAAATCCCGAATCCCGCGGGTGTCACGGGCGGTGTCGCCGCCAGGGGGCGCCATCAGCCCACGCGGGAGCGGCCAATCCCGGAAAAACCCGGGAATTTTTGGGATCGGGATTTCTGGGGATAGCGGGACAGGGGAATCCCAAACTCCCAGCTGGAATTGGGGAATCGCCTCCGTCCCGACATTCCAGCAGGAATTCCTCACGTTCCAGAAGGTTCCGGGGATCCGGAAGGTTCTGATCCCAGCAGAGGGGCAGGAGAAGTTCCCAGATCCAGGGGGTGGAGAGGATTCCCAAATCCCCAGTCTCAAATCCCTAAACCTCAAATCCTCAATCCAAATCTGAAACCCCAAATCCCCAAGTCCTCAAATCCTTAAATCCCCAATCTGAAATCTCAAATCTCAAACCACAAATTCCCGAATCCCCAATCCGAGATCCCCAGTCTGAAATCCCAAATCCAAATTTCAAACCCCAAATCCCAAATCCTCAAATCCCCAATTCCACATCCTTAAATCCTCAATCCCCAATTCACAGTCCCAAATCTGAAATCCCAAATCCTCAATCCCAAATCCCCAACCTGAAATCCCAAATCTCAAACCTCAAAACCCCAAATCCCCAAGTCCAGCCCAACATCTGCACAGAACAAATCCCATTGTCCAGGGGCTCCAGAAGATCCCAAACCCATGGGAATTCCCATCCTTTCCCCCACAGGTAATGAGAATTAACTCCTGGGACATTCCCAAACATGGATATTCCGGGAAGACTGGAATTCCCTCTGCTGGAATCAAGGCTGAGGGGATTGCAAATCCATGAAATTTTCCCCCCAAAATTGGGAATTTTGGCAGGAAAATGATCCAGGATGGGATTTTTTGGTTTTTTGAAGCTCCCAAATCCTGAATTCCAGAGCATCCCCAAATTCCCAACCCCAGCCAGAGGAAATCTGGAGCAGCTCCGGATTTTCTGAAGCTGCGGATTCGGGTCCAGGTAATTCCAGATTTTAAATGCCAGGAAAAGCAGGAATGGGGGAAAGGTGGGGAACTGAACTGACCTTCCCATCAAAATAGCAAAGGGAACGGGAAAAAATGAGAAAAATCAGGATTGGTTTGGGAATTAGAGCTGGGGGGGATCCCAGTAAATCCTGGATGAGCCTGGGAAAATGTGGGGGAAAATTCCCCGCAGGAATTTATTCTGGGGATGAAATTTCCAGTTTTTCCTTGGAAAATTCCAAGAAATTCCAATAAAAATTGAGGTGGGAGGGTGAGGGAGGGAAATCAGGGAATGGGAATAGAATCATCCCCATCTTTCCATTGTCTTCCATGGAATTTCCATGGGAAAATCTCCACCTGGATGGGAATCCTTGGATTCTGCAAGGATCAGCTTTTCCCAGATTTTCTGCCTGGATCCTGGAAGGATTTTTTGGGAAGTTCTCCCAGTCCAGCCATTTTTGAGGGATTTTTTGTCCACCTGAGGCCGAACTGAAATTCCCTGGATTCACCTTGGGATGGGAGATAGGAAAAGCAGGATGTGGGAGCAACCAGATTTCCTTTGGATCCCCCACTGGGGTTTCTCCTCTTCCCAAAACCATTCCATGGATTTTATCCCTGGATCTGCATTTCCTTCTTCCCCAATAAATCCTGTCCTGGTATTCCCCCAAATCCTTGTCCTGGTATCCCTGTGGACTTTCAGGATGAGAACATGGAATTCACTTTCCAGGATGTCCCCATTGTAGCAAGGTGGGAATTACAGAAGGAGATTCCCACTGGGAATTCCAACCCTTCCCAGGCCTGACATCACCTTGGAAAAGGCCATTCCTACAAATCCCTGAAGTCCAGGGACAGAGCCCTGTTGTGATCTGGAAGGAGATTCCCAGATGGATTCTGGGGTTGGAGTGAATCCCTCCCATGCTGGGATCCTGCTCCATCCATCCATGGATTCCATTCATCCCTCAATCCATCCATCCGTCCATCCATCCATCCATCCATCCATCCATCCATCCATCCATCCATCATCCATCCATCCATCCATCCATCCATCCATCCATCCATCCATCCATCCATCCATCCCTCCATGGATGTTTCTCTTTCTTAGGATCGCTCTCCCCCATCCCAGCTGGGTTTTTCCTAAATCCCACAAAAACCATCCCCAAATTCCCGTAGAGAGGAGGCAGGGGGAGCATCTTTGAAGAAAGGCGGAAAAAGCAGGAAAAGGGAGATACATCCCAAGGGAACATCCCCAGTGCTGCCTCAGTTTCCTGAGATCCTATTCCTACTCCCTCCCCTCTCTATCCCTTCTCCATCCCTGCTCCATCCCCA